AGTACTTCATACAATGATAATTTGATTCAACAATCAACACAGAAAAGAAAAAAGAAAAAAAACAACCACACAAGCAACTCTTCAGGCAAAAAACTAAAGTAGAATTGTACAAGAAACAAACGGCGTCAAACGCAGGAAATGAGATTGCAAATGATAACAACAATGAAATATATAAAATCACACAAGATGAAAATGGTCACGAAAGCTCGCGCTGAGTCGCGCACGCCGACCACGACGAGCATCAATCGAAACTGAAACTGTACATGGAAAATGTACTGTGCATGAAAAGTCCTCAACGACGCAAAGTACTTGTCACTGAAAACAGAAATGAAAAATACAACATATGCAATGTATCCTACAGGGCCACAGGCTACTGCTAAGGCAGTGGTACCACATGTCGAAAAAAAACAAACGAAACTGTAGTGTACAAGTCGTGTCATAGCTACTCTGCGAACACCCTACTGGTACAACGCTACTCTACGAACACCATACTGGTACCAAAATGATACACACGGAAAACCAAGGAAACATCATCTACTACATCTGTAGCACGCTGCACGCACACAACCACTGAGAGCCTAACAACACTATGACAAGACGAGACGACAAAAAAAACTAGGACCGCACAACATGACGAACCACAGTGCGAGCAGGGGAAAAAGGAGTGTTGGCCTCATCAGTCAACGACGCTTCTTCCCCTTCCCGCTCTGTTTCCTCGTAACCCCTCGCGTGCCGGATGTCGAACTCCTCCTCCCTCGTGATGATGAAAAAGTATGCGCAGCGCGCCGTCTGGCTGCACCTTTCGGTGGGGGAGGTGGGGGCTCGTGCTCGTCGTGGTCGTAGTCACCATCGGAACCTCTCTCACTCTCCTCCTCTCCCTCCTCCTCGCCCTCATAGTCCTCGTCCTCCTCCCGCACTGCCACATCTGTCTCAAGATCATCCTCCTCGATGGTGACAGGGGCTCCTGCCTTCCTCAACACAACAACCCTCGCACTAGCCTCTGTAACCGTCTGCTCATGGCGCGATCCACGAGGCATCCCCAACCCCTCTGCCCCGGAAGTCTCTCCAAGTGCATCTCCTCCCTCTGCGGGCACGGGGCGTGGACGAGGAGGCACTCCGCGCTTGCGTGGAGTCTGCTCATGTACGGCACGCGTCGCTGCCATCAGAGCGTACTCCAAGCTATCGGCGGACACTCCTCTGCCGCGACCTCGCTGAGGCTCACAACCTGATGCTGGAACCTCCCTCGTTGCGGTCATCCTGCCACCGCGGGGTCCCAAACCCGGTTGTAGACGTGCAGTGTGCTCCGTGACACGGCGGGTGGAATCCAAATCTATGTTTGTCCTCCCGAACAACGCTGTGTCACTCACGTTCCCCACAACGGTTGTGGTGTCCCGAATCCTAGACCTCCCAGGCGTGTGTGGAGATCGAGAGCCTCTGCCTGTGGACGACGATGACGGATCACCTACAGATGGTCTGGGAGGAGGGGGTGGCATGTCTCATGTACGTGGCGCTGTCTCCACGACGCCACCTGAAACCCCTGGAACATCTCCCACCGTACGTGCTCCGGTGGAGGTAGACCCAGACCACACTGGCGATGCAGGACCCCATGGAACTGGAGGGATCGCCTGCCATGGTGGATGCTGTAGCCTCTGGTCAAAGACCCGCCGGTCCAAGCGAGTCACATCGCGGACAGCCTCTCTCGCCAACTCGTCTACATCCAAAGGACGGCGGACCTCCTGCGGAGCAAAGTGACTAGGAAGACGCGGTGGCGCAACCACCGGCTCGGACCCCAAATCCGTGATAACGAGCGGCGGCACACCATGCACTGCCACCGGCACCGGCTGCGACTGTCGGGCCTGAGCCAAGTGCAGGTCCGAGAACGGAACGACTAGACCCGTCGTTGTCTCCCAGGCCACACATCGTGCGTCACCCACACCCTCGTCTCGCCGCCGTCCTGCCTGCACAGCCTCATCCACCGCCTGTTGCAAGCCCTCCACATGAACATCCGCTGCCTCTCGCCCACCCTGCAC